AATTCGTAAAAAAAAAAAAAATAATAATAATAATTAAGACATGCGTGTCCGTCAACCTTAAACAATAATCTTTGTCAATTTTATTTTTCTGTCTTTATGATGGTGGATACTTGATCTATCTCTTACTGTTATATCCTCGGGCAACGCCGGGCTCTACTGCTAGTCAAGAATATTGGAGAAAGGATAGTTGAAGAGGTAGGTGATTTTTTTTTTGTTGTTTTCTCGTGTTTTTTTTTTCATTGTATTTGTCAAAAGAAAAAAAAGGCCAGTATAATTATCACTCTTTGCCGTCAATGGCAACACAAACTAGCCAGAATGGGGTTGCGGCTAGAAAATAATGTGGCCTCAGGTTTGTCCAACTCAAATACAAGCAGGGACACATAACCATACGCGACATAGCACTATAGATGCCCCGATATTATGCGACTGTTGAACAGATCAGCTTTTCTAAGCGCTACGAAAGCGTGCCGGTTCCTTAGCATTAGTTGGGATGCCAGTAGCCAGCGAACTGCCAACCCGGTCCCCGAAAGTCACATCAACAAAAACAGTTAAAACAGTTAAATCATGGAAGTATAAAGAACTGGTAAACTATGCCTTAAACAGGGAACGAGGGATTATCCTCTACTTGGGTTCAAAAGACATGGAAAGAGTGCGGAATGGACTATAGGTGAGATTATATACTCATATTGACGTCCATATTCCTTTCTCAGTCAAAAGAAAAAAAATTTCAATAGAAAATTTCAAGTTTTAACTTAATATAAGTTCTGATGTTTCCTATCGACTAAAAAAATTCAGGCTGGAAATTAATTAACTCAAATTTTACGACTCTTATTTTAAGGCAGGTTCGCAAAAGACATTATTTTTTGCGGGGAAATAATTCAAACAGATTCAAACAGTGAGGAAAAGAATTAATGTATTAAAGGAGCAGGCAATTCTGATGAAACAGTAATTGCTTTTACACACGTAGACTTTTTGTAATGCCGAGTTCAAATTCCAATCATTCATTATATTCAACTTCGTGCAAAAGTATGAATCCATCTCTTCTTCCTACCTATGGATTAAATAGTAAGGCGTTCTCTTCAGCCTTGGTTAGCAACCTATCTAGCAGATGGAAACGCTGAATTTTCAAACCCAGGTAAATGATTTTTTGTTTTTTGTTTAGCGTCATATCAACAATCAACATGTATGGGTTACTTAGTGCCGAAATCTAAATATTTTGTATGCATATGTTTTTTAGATTATAATGGTTTTAGTGATACAAGTCTTACTAATTAACCCATAGCTGGGGGAAGAAGAGGTGAATTCATACCTTTCGCAAGGTTATTAGCGCGTAAGGGAATATAACGAACCCAATGGGAACTAGACATCGGCTCTCCGATTAACAATTCCTCAAGGACACTTGGCACAGTGGATAAAGGCGTTGGTTACATTCAGTGACAGGAGCCAAAGTGTTTGAGTTCAACACCTGGTTAAGGCAGTAGAGAACTTTCAGAGGGAAACTAACAGGAGATAACCGATAACTGACATCCATTAAACATGGCACGTGGAACTAAAACAGTCTACCCCAGTGAGCGAAATAAAGGGTTCAGTTCGACATTCCAAACACCTGAAGAAGGCCGGAGCGTAAAACGGCCGAAACGTTGTAATAAATATGACGACAAAGATGAGGACAATAGTCCGAATAATTTAAATAGTGTAACAATTCTGAGTTGTTTTTTTTTTTTCATTTTTTCAAAATTTTTTCAGCCTTTGTTTTTTCTTTCTTTGAGAGCTGTGATTGAAATATTTCTGATGTGTTTTTACGATAATAAACACAGCGTGAGTGGCTTCCTACATTTTAGAAAACATTCTATACATCAGCCACATATTCAACCTTACGGCACCTGGTATTCTCAAACTGTCACCCATACTGATCAGGATCAACGTTGCTTAACTTCGGTGATCGTACATGAACCGGTGTTTCAACATGATGTATCTGTAAGCCCCGAAGTAACAGAGATGTGGTTCTACAGGTGGACACTCATAACGCTATGGCGTGGGCGCATGCGCAATGAGGGATGTTTAAAAAAGGAAGTGAAACTGGATACATGCTTAAAATCAAAAAGATGCAGATGAAAAGTAGCCATAGAAAACGTAACACCCAAAGGGTAAACCGAATGAAGTAGAGATGAAAGGAAAAAGTAAGTATATTATATAAACTTTTTTTTCTACTCAAATGGATGGCAGAACTCCGACGATTAAGGATTGTAATGAGGCCAACCCTATAAGGATATTGTAGAAAACCAAAATTAACCACTGGAATGGACGTTATATAAAAGATAGATTCCTTGATCCGAATCAATTAAGATGATGCATTTTAAAATGGCAAAAATATCAGAATAATGATACACATAATAATTTATTTCAGTTTATATTTCCGATATTGTGGCATAAGTGAACATCTGGGTTGAGTCAGGCAAATAAACGGCACGGGCTTTGATCTTTACTATGGACACTGTACAATTTGCTATTGATGCTAATATTCTTCGTCTTTGGCTGGAATCTCCAAGACATGGCAGTCCTGAAATCGGACTCCGAGTGGAAGAATGTTCTGTGGACAATTTTTGCCAAACCAAGGCATCGTGCATATATTCTTCGCAATAACTAAACAAATGCTGAACTACTATGACATACCTACCATCTTCTATTTCAGTAATTAGTGGAACATTTTGTTTAAAAGATTTAAAAAAAGACCAAAAGCGACAGAGTGATTCGTTTTCTACGACTTATCAAGATTTTGAAGCTTATTTAAAGCGAGGAAATATTTTTAAATTTTAAGAGTTTTTTTTTTTGTCTTTGAGATAAAAATGGCATAGTGATACAAGTCTTACTAATTAACCCATAGCTAGAGGAGAAGAGGTGGATTCATATTTTCACAAAGTTTATTTGCGCGTGACTTAATACAACGAACCCAACGGGAACTGGAACTCGGCAATCCGATTAACAATTCCGAGTTTGTTTTTTTTCATATTTTTCTAAATGTTTTTCAACCTTTTGTTTTTTATCCGTCTATATTTCTGAGATAAGGTTTTATTTAAACTATTTAGATTATTCGAACTATTGTCCTCATCCTTGTCGCCATATTTATTACAACATTTCGGCCTTTCAGTATCTGTCCATATTTCTGAGATGAAGTATTATGCACACTATTTACATTATTCGGACGATTGTCCTCATCTTTGTCGCCATATTTATTACAACGTTTCGGCCTTTCAGTATCTGTCTATATTTCTTAGATGAGGTATTATGTGCACTATTTACATTCCTCGGACTTTTGTTTTTTCTTTCCTTGAAAGCTGTGTATTGAAATATTTCTGTTGTGTTTTTACTATAATATAACACAGCGTGGCTCGCTTGTTACATTTTAGGCTACATTCTATGCCCCAGTCACATATTCAACCTAACGGCACCTGGTATTCCTAAGCGTCTAGTTACTAACTAGGGTCAACGTTTCTTGGCTTCGGTGATCGAACGGGAACTAGTGTCTCAACGTGATATTGCCTCAAGCCCTGTTTGATGAAAAACAGGTGAAGTACTTTTCCAAAATCATCTTTAGGTGTAAATTACAAAGATAAACTTATTGTAAATGCAGTAAAATCTGCATTCCGTTGTGATGGTAATTTTGTAAAACACACGTGAACACGCACTGTTAGAGATATTTGTTTGATATATATATATATATGTGTGTGTGTGTGTGTGTGTGTGTGTGTGTGTGTGTGTGTGTGTGTGTGTGTGTGTGTGGAGTAATTGACAAATCCGAGAGCGAAGTTAGATATCCAGTCGAATCCATTGCGTTCATTTACGTGATTGGAAAATATATCCTCTTCTTCTCCCCCTCCCCCAGCTATGGGTAAATAATAGGACGGACTGGGTTCTATAGCCTTGGATGGCAACTGGTCTAAAAGAAGGACAACTCTGAATTCAAAACCTGCGGAGGGTCGTTTGGGCACCTTCTGGTACGTAGTGCACCAGGTCTCTGTATTCGGCCCTTCAAAAAGTGTGGATGGTCCTGCACGAAACCTTCACAACTATAATCAAATCATATGTGCAGGTGTCTGGCTGTTCCTAGGAACTGGGTTGCTTGACCCTCATACGTCGAATACGACGGGAGAGCCCAGTGCACACACACACACACATATATATATATATATATATATATATATAATAATTGAAGTGCGTATGCGATCATGGTTCTCCACAACTTCATTTTCTTTAATATCTGTAAATTCTTTTATCATGTCCCTTAGCACGTAGGCGGTCAAGGCTCTCCACGTCTTCTTTATCAGATGACTTAAGAAATATAGTGGAAAGGATTTTCCGTTATTTTCTCCATGGTTTTGAATTCAGATAAACAAAAATCTAAAGTGCTTATATAATATATCCCTTCTGGATAGTTTCTATTTCTTTATTGTCCGATGACTTCTATGACTTCTCTAGAAATATAGAGGAGTGGATTTTCTTTTGTCTTCTCTAAGGTTTTAAATTCAGAATTACCCTTCTCATACACTGCAATTTAACCTCTAGTTGGAGTAGGATATGAAACAGATTCTTGCCTTTCTCAAGGGCATTAGTGCGAAATGAACTAGGCTGGAACTAGAACTCGGTTCGCTGATTCTACATTCCGATAAGAATGACGCTGTCTACACATTGTGTAGACATGTCAGAAAAAGCATGACCACGGATATGTTTATTCAAACTGGCCTCCTTATCTCTGATGTTTGTAGAATGGGTGAGATTCGTGTCGCTCTTACGCAAATACTAAAGCTGATCATACTTGATTTGTTTTGATTTATTTCTTTCTCTTCAACGCCATCCCTTATAAAAGGTATAATAAATTGATGCTGACTGGTTCGACTGGCTTAGATGGATACAATCGATATTTCATGTCGATGTCTACCTCTGAAGGACTTGTTTTTTGCTTTTTTTTAAACCTAGTGATCGGATTAAAGGAAAATACAAAGTCATATTTTACTTGGCAACCGAATGTGTTTGACTCGAAGCCAATCGGGAGATAGATAGATAGATAGATAGATAGATAGATAGATAGATAGATAGATATGACCAGATTTAGATAGATAGATAGATATGACCAGATTGAGATAGATAGATAGATAGATAGATAGATAGATAGATAGATAGATAGATAGATAGATAGATGTGAACAAATTGAGATAGATATAGATATATATGAACATATTGCGATAGATAGAAACAGACTTCCATAGATAGATAGATAGATAGATAGATAGATAGATAGATAGATAGATAGATATGACCAAATTTAGATAGATAGATAGATAGATGTGAACAAATTGATATATATATATATAGATATACATGAACATATTGCGATTGATAGAAACAGACTTCCATAGATAGATAGATAGATAGATAGATAGATAGATAGATAGATAGATATGACCAGATTGAGATAGATAGATAGATAGATAGATAGATAGATAGATAGATAGATAGATAGATAGATAGATAGATATGCGGGGCGGTGTCAATAGATTAGAAGAATCAAAATAAAAAAAATACTAAAAATATGAGAAAAAACAAAGATGGTAGACAACAGTAAAAGTGAACTTAATGAACGAATACAACGTCAACTTTTTTTTTAATCTCAAAGGAAAAGCAATTCAAAGAAGACGTTCTTGTTAACCCTGGAAAATTGGCAGGTGAGAGTCAGGTTTGCCAATGGTGGACCTTAGCAACCAATTGGAAACGAATGGAATCACCATGACAACCAGTAGAAAAATGGCGGATTGTTCGCGTCAGACAATGCAATCAGATTTCAAAGTGGCGGTAAATAAAGCGAAATAAACAACGTCACGTGATAAGCCGGCAAGTGTTTTGTTGTTTTGTAAGTGTTTTGTTTTTGGTGGAAAATAAGCCCTGAACGTTTTGAGAAGCTAAACCCTTCAGACAACAGATACAGTAAAAAATTAATCCGATCTTAGCTCGAGAATCAGGTCACCTGTCAGATTGTCTTTTCTTGTCTAATCCAGAATCTATACAGGCAGCAAACCGCCTGCATACGGATAGAAAATGAATTCAGTAAATATACAAAAATAGAAATCGGAGTAAGACAAGGATGTGTCTTCTCACCGGACTTAATCTATACAGTGAGGTGATTTTGAGAGAATCAGAAGTCCTACCAGAATTCATTATAGGCGGCTGCAATCTTAACAACATAAGATGACACAGAGTTGATAACAGTTACAGAAAAGAAAATAGTGAAGGAAAGCGAGAAGAAAGGCCTAAATATCAACTTCAAAATGCATAATGCATGGTTGTCAGCAAAAGGAACAGCTAATGTGCAAATTACAAATCAGAGATACCAAAATCAAACAAATACAAAAATTTAAATATCTGGGAAGTATTTCAACAAAAGACGAGAAGTGCGGTACTAAAATCCGGAGGCGAATTGTGATAGCCAAAGATGTCTTTCAGAAGCTAAGCAAAGTATTAAGAAAGAGAAAAATTTCGTTATAAACAAAGAAAAGAGTAGTGAACTGTTACGTTATATCAGTCCTTCCAGTCTGAAAGTAAATGCTGGACACCCCCTCCCCAGATAAAGAGTAGACTTGAGACAGCAGAAATGTGGGTACCATGGGCCGAACATGTAAACAACAATGACGTTTTAGAGAAAATGGAAACAAAATGGAAAACTATACGTACCATCAAAAAAAGACAGTTGAACTTTCTAGAGTACATAATGAAGAAAAACTCCTACACGCAGGGCAGATTCATAGCGAGGGGTGGGGGCAGAGATACACAGCGTATAATTTAGTGAGCTTGAGAAAATAGATGGTTGAACAAGGTTTAGGAGTGATTAAAAAAAAGACAAAATTTATTAAGAGCAAGAAAGGACAAGAAATTATGGAGAGCCATGATCGTCCTGAAGAAGATTATTATTTCATTAGTAAGAAGTAATTCACTCGTACAGCTTCTTCCCAAGAACTGCTACTTGTGAAACAGATTCCTGGGTGGGGGGGTGCTTTCCTGATCACTACAACCATGACATCTTTAAATCTAAATCATGCAACACAGCACAGTAGCCCTCTACTTTGAGTGGCTCTTGGAGCTTATATTGTACATAAAATTTGAATCGATATTGATATTATTTTGTTACATCTTCAGATCACTGCTTCGATAGTTCGAAATGATCGTTAATCCGCAATCTACGAATAATCTTTGATATAATTTGGTTCTTTTTTCAGGAACGGTGCATACTACCAACGCCCCCCCCAACACACACATACATGCATGATTGATGACACCGGGCAGTGCTTTGTGACTCTCGCTATCTTATCGACATTTTCTTTTTTACACATTACAAATTAAACAAAACACAACGATTAAAGGATGATCTATTTTTTTAATCCATAATGTTGAATGAGTTAAAACTCTTCAACTTTTTAACAAGAAAAATCTCAAGTTGATGTTAAAAATTGCTGCAAAACATTATTGATTTATTTAAAATGGAATGGTCTATTATGACATATCTCTAATTTGTATTTATCAGGTCATCCCATAAGTTCTGTCCGAATTTTGAATAAAGAAAACAAGTAACCAAATCTTACATTTAATTACAGATTCAATCAACAATTTATTTTCCCTGATTATCTATGACTTCCTTCCATCTATTAACAAGCTTACTAATTCCATTACTGTAAAATTCTTTTGGCTTTGATTCGAAGAACTCACAAATGTCAGTTTTAACCTCTTCCTGTGTTACAAAAGCTGTTTCTTCTAAATGATTCTGTAAGCTACGAAACAAATGGTAGTCTGAAGGAGCAAGATCGGGAGAATAAATTGGATGAGGAATTTTCTCCCAACCAAGTTCTTCGATCTTTTGTGACGTGATTCTTGCTGTGTGGGGTCGCGCATTGTCCTGATGAAACATCACCTCTTTTCGATTCACTAGAGCAGGTCTTTTTTTCCTCAAAGCTTGGTTCAAACGCTCTAATTGCTGACAGTATATTTGAGCATTAATTGTTGCATTAGGTGGTAAGAATTCAAAGTGGATTATTCCTTGGCGATCCCACCAGATTGAAAGAAGAACCTTTTGCCCATGAAGTTCCCTTCTCGGCTGTGGCTGGGGTCCTTCCCCTTTACCAAGCCACTGTCTACGACGCTTAACATTTCGATAAAAGATCCATTTTTCGTCGCCAGTCACAAGTCTATCCAAAAAAGGTGAAACAAGTTGGCGAGAATGGAGAGAAAAGCAGATGTCAACTCGGGATTTGAGGTTGTTTTCAGACAATTCATGAGGCACCCATTTTCCAAGTTTAGGAACTTTTCCAAGTTGTTGAAGATGACGATGAACAGTTGTATGGTTTGAACTGAGAACCACTGCCAATTCCTCAACTGATAAAGCAGGATTTTCTTCAAGGGCTGCTTCAAGAAGCTTTTCATCAAACTCAACTGGACGTCCGGTTCGATCTTCATCTTCAAGGGTGAAATCTCCACCTCTGAATTTTGCAAACCATCTTCTGCAAGTTCTTTCATTCAAATATTCCTCTCCATAAACTGAGTGAATGTTTCTAGCTGCTTCGGCTGCTGAGTTTCCATTGTTGAACTCATAAAGCATTATGTGCCTCAAATGATTCTTGGGTATTTCCATGTTAGCAGGGTTTTAATCAAACAAAATTTAATTTTATTGTTCTCTGAAATAAAATTTGATCATTTGCATCTAAACATAAAAATAATGTTCAGCTCCATTAGACATTGTAAAATACTCTTTAAATTTCGTTCATTTTAAAAAAGAATAAAATTCGGACAGAACTTATGGGATGACCTGATAGAACGATATTTATCTCTTTCTTGAATAACATTTTCTAAAAAGAAATAAATGAAACCGCTCTCGTTAATAATGTCCTTTCCAAAAGTCATCATCGATAAATAAGTGTTTATTTAACACTTTGAGCTCTGACTACCGCTTTACCGGTGGTAGAGAAAAATGACTTAATGCCCAGTTACAGGTTGAACGGTGGGTAAACACTTGTAACTATTTTTATATCTACCGTGAAACATTGCATACAAATTATTTGCGAATTTTGACTCAGGAGCTCAGAAAGAAGGGTTAAAATTGTTCAGGAACGCAGGATTCAAAGAGTTAAGGGTGACTAACAACACTTATGAAAAAGCTGAAAACAAACAATAAAAAAATCAATTTATTTTATCCTGATCAATCATGAACTCAAACAACAAATATGACGAAATAGCAATGGAAAATATAGTCCATAAGTATGTTTCTTTAAATATGATGGACAAGGAATATTTTGTTTGGTTTATTCATTCAATTTTTCCTGTTTCCTTGCAATTTTCTTTTTTGACTACAAAGTGTTTGTAGAAATTGTCCATTATCTTTATTCTTCTGAACGCATTCAGCTAAAACTTTAGTCGTCTTCAAGAAGACGACTAATTTTCACGGAGATACGCATTGTTAGTCCATTTCTGTTTTATTTCCTATACTGTGTTGTAAAAGAGGAAAGTTTGTAATATTAATGTCATTCTTAGTGGAGATGTTTGCTTAAATTCCCAAAACACCCAAGACGGCTTCGCGACGTTCAAAAAAAGGTGTTATCAGTTGAGGGTAAGTTTTTTCTTTCGAAAATTTTTCAAACGTTTATATATATATATATATATATATATATATATATATATATATTATATCAACATTTGAGCATAGTCGGGATCATTGAACCAATTCGAACGATCCTTTGTTTAGTTGTATAGTATGTTCTACGCCCTTTTACATACAGTTTTGAATTCAGAGTTTTATCTTCTCCTAGACCGGTTGCTACCTAAGGCTATAAAACCCAGTCTGTTCTGCTATTTACATATGGCTGGGGTGAGAAGAGGAGGATACATACCTTTAAAAAAATTAGCATGTATTAATGTAAAGGATCCAATTTTTTTTCGAACTCAAATACCGAGTCCTTAATCCGAACCACTATCCATCATTCCATTGTGCAATATATATATATATATATATATATATATATGTGTGTGTGTGTGTGTGTGTGTATGTATGTGTATGTGTGTGTGTGTGTGTGTGTTTTCTCACAAAAAATTCGAAGAGAGAAGACATGTTTTTCAAAGGTCTGTTGATTTCAACGGATTTTTAACAATGTAAAAATGTTGGATTAAATATTAAGTAAGGCAAATACGAATTTGAATATTAAATGAAAGAAACATTATTGAATTAATAGTTAAAAGCTGTAAACATTATTTTAAAGGAGTTGTAATGCAAGACAGTATTTTTTCGAAAATTTGATTTCAATGAAAAAAAAATTAAAATTAATGTCAAGCGGGGATTACAAAAATTAATCAAAAAAAAGTTAAACGTTAATTTTAGGAAAAAGAAAGAAAAATGTCTCTTCCTTCTTCTTTGCTGGAATCTGATCGTTGCTTTTCTTGCAACAGCATTAACAAGCGTAAAAGAATCAGACGTTGTTCAAATTGTCAACGGTCTTTTCATTTATTCTGCGTGGGATTGACTAGAAATGCTTCAGCGTCTCTGGTTGTT